AACCTTTTATTGTCTACTTTATATCAGTACTTCTCAACCTTTTATTGTCTACTTTATATCAGTACTTCTCAACCTTTTATTGTCTACTTTATATCAGTACTTCTCAACCTTTTATTGTCTAGTTTAGATCAGTACTTCTCAACCTTTTCCAGTATGATTCACCCCAGTTCGAAAAAAGACAAATACAGTGCTAAATTAAAATGTAAATTTTTTATTATGACTTAAGTATACATCAAACTACAACTAGAGTGTATACAAGAAAAAGAATAATCAAAGAATAAATAATAATAACTAATGACTTTTCTTTGCATTTGAATTTGTTGTATAATTGTTAATACTCATTCACCCTGATTCTGATCGCATTAACCCCTGGGTGAACCATTCACTAAGTTGAGAAGCACTGGTCTAGATGAGAAGTCCCTGTATTGAATGAAAGGCCTTCTGGGAGTTACTCGAGACAGACAGAAGACAGATCTGGAATGCTATTTTTACACGTCTCTAAATTGAAGTCATAATGAACAAGATATGTGGTATATAATGTTTGATAATAATGAAATCAGTTTTACATAAATTTTCTTAAGAAACATATAATTTGGCTTACTTCTCAGCACAAGCAATATACACTATACTTACACCGAGTTTAACATAATGTAGTTGAAACTAACCTTCAAGTCATCTGGAAGTTCTTGACATCAAGAATATCCAGGGTTAAAATGTACACTATACTTAAACCGAGTTTAACATAAAGTAGTTCAAACTAGCCTTCAGGTTATCTGGAAGTTCTTGATATCAAGAATATCCAGGGTTAAAATACACTATACTTAAACCGAGTTTAACATAAAGTAGTTCAAACTAACCTTCAGGTTATCTGGAAGTTCTTGACGTCCAGCATATCCAGGGATAAAATATACACTATACTTAAAATGAGTTTAACATAACGTAGTTCAAACTAACCTTCAGGTTATCTGGAAGTTCTTGACGTCCAGCATATCCAGGGTTCATTGTAATGAACATGGTGCACGTAGGATTCAGAGATATGTTTGTGCCCTCAAACATAAAGAATTTCAAGTTCTGTGATATGGCATGCTGGATACTGTGAATCTGCTGGGCTACAACAGATAATACTTCCAATTCAATCCGATTGAACTCATCAAAACAGGCCCAGGCTCCAGATTGAGCAAGACCCTTAAAGAACTTCCCCATAGCCTTGTAGTCCAAGCCATCAGAACAGTTGAATACAACACACTGAACACGAGGAAAAACCATGGTTCACAGTACACACATGGATGCATATAATGATGCAAAATTTAAAGTTAAAACTTTAACAATGTACCCTATGCTATAGAACATTAAATTAAAACTTTAAAAATGTAATCTATTCTACATAACATAAAGTTACACATTTAACAATGTACCCTATGCTATAGAACATTAAATTAAAACTTTAAAAATGTAATCTATTCTACATAACATAAAGTTAAAACTTTAACAATGTACCCTATGCTATAGAACATTAAATTAAAACTTTAAAAATGTAATCTATTCTACATAACATAAAGTTACACATTTAACAACGATACCTTATGCTAAAGAACATTAAATTAAAACTTTAACAATGTAATATATTCTACAGAACATAAAGTTACACATTTAACAATGTACCTTATACTATAGAACATTAAATTAAAACTTTAACTATAGCATAAGGTACATTGTTAAATGTGTAAATTTATGTTCTGTAGAATATATTACATTGAAACATTAAATTAAAACTTTAACAATGTAATATATTCTACAGAACATAAAGTTACACATTTAACAATGTACCTTATGCTATAGAACATTAAATTAAAACTTTAACAATGTAATCTATTCTACATAACATAAAGTTAAATCTCTAACTGTGTAACCTATGTGATAGACATAAAGTTACACATTTAACAATGTAATACATTCTACAGAACATAAAATTACACATTTAACAATATAATCTATGTGATAGACATAGTTATACTTTTAACAATGTTATCTATTCTACAGAACATATAGTTAAAACTTTGCTCCAATAATATAATTCATTCTAAAAAGTATTAACAATCTGTTCCTTTAAATGTTAACATTACAACAAACAAATTTATCAAGGTTATCACGTAAAAAGTATCCAGTATAAAATCAGGCAAATATGATTATAACATTTCATATAAGTAATTTGTATAGTTCTTTCTGTCTCCATTTGATGTGTATCCAACTTTTTAAACCTTTAAGTTTCAACCAACTAGTTTCCAAGTGTTTTACGGTGCAGACTAAGAACAGCTTGCTAAAGAATAAGCCACATGTAGTTAGAGAGTAAACCTAACTCCCAACAAGATCTTTTGTAGAGTAGTTAATTAATCGACGTTACAACCATGCTATAAAACTATACGAATTTCAAGATTAAGAGATTCATATTTTGTGATCTTTCTGTGGTCATCAAATATACATTTGTAAAACATATAACTTTAACATTAATGTGTAGCTGGTATTTCATGGTTTCTGTTCTGTGGTATGTAACAAATCAATGATTTTATATTAACCTGCTTAGCAACTGCTTTAGCAAGATCTTTGCATGTTTCTGTCTTCCCTGTACCAGCCGGCCCCTCTGGAGCACCACCAAGGTTCAGCTTCAGAGCCCCCATTAAAGTTCTAGAATTCAGAACAGAAATCTTAAAATTTTTTTCTATAATATATATGTGTAAGTCATCTTGATTGTATGAAGATGTCTGAGTAAAAAAACACGATTGATCTAAGTTTGAATGTTCAACAAATTCATTTGCCATCAAATAATGCTATATATTAAAACATTCATTAAAACGTCCTTTCATTAACCTTTTTTTATAGTAAATATTAATATTCATGATTAAATTATAACTAAAATCCATAATGACCAGATGAGTAATCTATTTAAAAAAATACTAAATGTTACATTGTTAAAGCTTAGTGTAGGTAGTTTCTAACTTCATAATCACTCTGTTAAAAAATCTGTTACTACAATTACACATAGTTGTTAATATAAAACTTTAGTTTATATTTATAATACAGTATGAAAAAGACTTCATCGCTAAACTGAAACATACCTATAGCATCTGTCAGTCAGTGGGGTAATAACAAGCCTCGGAGAATTTCCCAAGTACTCAAACCCATACTGAATATCAGTGGTTATCATTCTGACAACCACACTCCCATTCTCCCAGTAGTAGCGCAGTTGACTTAACCAGCTAAAGTCGTGAGGGCTGTCTATGTTCTTCTTTATAAGGTCATTGACCACATCTCGTGCTGTTGAGAATAAAGCAGAAAATGTATGAATTTAAAAGGGTTTTCCAATGACTAGAGATTACAGCAATTTATATAATGGCATGATTTTATTCATATATTTTAAAACTAATACCTCAATATATATACATATATTCAAACACAACATATGGCATATATTTCCGCATGGCACCATATATCCTTAAAGGTTACAATTTTGGATGTAATAGTAAGAGACAGACTTTGAAATCAGTAAATAACATTCAGAATTTTTCTTACTAGCTTAAAAGTGTTTTCAGTTTAATTATTTTCTTGCATTCATTAAAAAATGATCCAGTCAGTGACCCCCTAGGGTCTTCTGGTGGGTCAGAAGTAAGTTTACAGACTCACAATACTAAAATCCAGGGATTCAATTCCTTGCACCAGACACAGCAGATAACCCAGTGTGACTTTGCTCTAAACCAAACAAACGAAAGATCTCTGGAATTCAGGTAAAGCCTACTGATTGGGGAAGAGACAGTCAGTTAGCACCCATCATCACAAAGGCTTTGTCTAATTATGTGAACCAAATAATGGAACTGACTGTAGCTTTTATGACACAGTGACAGCTGAAAATGTGTAGCATATTCAGAGGTATTATGTTTCAAACCTTGGACCCTTCAGTCTGCAACCTAACACACTAATCACTTATTCATGCCTGGTCAAAACCTACTAAATCATTTGATTTAATATTTTTCATAGTGGGGGGGGGGGGTAATCTCATATTCTGAATAACAAAATTTTTGAGCTTCCTAAAAAGAAATGATTTCACTGTGTTGTCACCTCTCAATGTTTAGTTGATACTGTGTATGTTACAAAACAGTCATCTTGTTTAAGGTTACTGAGCTTTTCAAATAGTTCAATGAATGAAAGATGGAGGTTACCATGTTTGAAACAATAATTCATGAAAGATGGAGGTTACCATGTTTGAAACAATAATTCATGAAAGATGGAGGTTACCATGTTTGAAACAATAATTCATGAAAGATGT